CAGTCTAAGGGACCTCAGACAGCGGAGCCAGGATGTATCCCTGGTGCACAGGGGGACCTTGTGAACACATCCCCCCATGGAGGGATAACTGCCTTGGCCTGGGGACAGAGGAGAAGCCCTAGTCCCTGCTTCACATGTCCTGTCAGATCTGCATGGTCCCAACTGGATGGCATTCCCCTACATATGGCATTGGGGTGGGGGGGATGGGAGGAGAGGGTGGTTAGAGTGCATGTGAGAGGGCAGAGAGGGTAAAAGTGAGGGAGAGAGGGAGGGAGGGAGGGCGGAGGGAGGGAGGGAGGGGGAACTGGGATCGACATGTAGAATGATGAATTAAATAAAAAAAAATTAAAAAAGAAAGAAAGAAAATGCCTCTATAAGATCAGGCTGTATAGCATTTTCATAATTAGTGATTGACAGTGAATGGACCCGTTCACTGTGTGGGGCCACTCCTAGAATGGTGGTCCTAGATTCTATAAGAAAGCAGGCCAAGCAAGCCATGAGGAGCAAGTTGGTAAGCAGCACTCCTTCACGGCCTCTGCATCAACTCTGCCACCAGGTTCTTGCCTTGGCTTTCTTTAATGGACTTTGACTTGAGATATGTGAATCAAATAAACCCTCTCCTCCCCAAGTTGCTTTGGTCATAGTGTTTCATCACAGCAATAGTATCCCTAAGACAGAAATGAAGGAAACAATTCACCCACACATGCCAAACCCCTTCCCCTTCAAATAAGTAACCTAGCTTTAAAATGTATAATACTGTTAATGACACCAATGGGAGGAATCTGTGCCCCAGATCTTGTCTTTGTCTTAACTATCACCTGTTCTATGTGGCCATCTGTTTTGTAAAGGTGCAGCAAAGATGACCGACCTAGACATGCCCTGAGCACCTACCATGTGGTAGGTGTGGTATCTAGGAAGAGGGCCTGTACCATGTTTCCAGTTAGCAGCAGAGGAAATGGGTTCCAAGTACAGCAAGTCCTGAAGCATGAGCAGTCTGAAGGCCTGGAGGCTGAATTTACACTGAGACAGAAACACCTCTTTTCTTCTAGGACCGCCTTGTGCTCTGGTGAGGTGACAAGGGCAGTCCCAAGGCAAGAGTGACAAGGTCAAGAGCCCACACCAACACTTTTCTCTGCCACAGTTTAACAGCTAATTCCTCCCACCAGACATAAGGATCCTAAATACCATTTTGGCCATTGTTAACCTTGTAGGTAATGACAGCATTCAGGTCTGAGTGAAAAGCACAGCAGCAGGGACAGATACATGGGCAGGTCTGTCGCAGGGGTGCCCAGGAAGAATCTGGACACTGCCATTTCCCAACAGTGGCATTCACGCATTCATTTATTAAGCTCACCACATTCACAAAGCACCTACTTTGAGGGACCAATCAAGGATGAATTTATGGGAATCCTGTTAGGATTGAAAGAGAGAGACACAGAAACACACTTAATGGAGTCCGAGGCCTAAGTGGCCTTCTTTCTAGTCAGAAGTGACAGTAGAAGCAAGGGCTCAGGTGTGAGGAGGGCCTTCGAGAAGCATGACAGAAATGCAGTGAGCCCAAACCCTTTGTATGGAGGTGATACATCTGTAAAGGAGGATGGCTTTTCTAGGGCACACAGGAGCCTACTGTATCCTGAACTAGTTTCTAGGGTTTTCCAGAACCATCCTGCAGCAGATAGAGGAAGGCCTTCTCAGCACCCCACAAGCCTGCATGACAAGAGCTCTGGGCCTGCCTAAGTGACCAGCTGCCAAACGGCCTTTTTCATCTGGATAAAGGATTCCAAAAGGATGCCCTTCTACCACTGCGGTAAAAGCAAAAAGGAGAAACTTCAAAACCCTTCAGCCTGACTCTGGTCAGCTAGACCATGGGACCACCCTGCCCTAGGGAGTGTAAATCTGTTCTTAAATAGATCAATGCATAAAGCTAAATGAAAACATCTCTAAGGTGCTTTGTTACACAAGGAGAAGGAATACATAAAGCAGTGCAGCAGATGACCAGGTGCTGAAATGAGCAAGCAGGGGACTTGGAAAGGTAAATCAGCTGGCAAATTCTCCTTCTCCTGCTCATGGGTCAGAAAATGAGGGTGCTGGGAGAGGGGAAGGTCTTGAGACCATCTTTTCTCTACTTCTTCTTACTACCCATCTGAATTCCTGTAAAACTACCACTGCGCTCTTTCTCTCTCCTCTCTCTCTCTTTCTCTGTGTGTGTGTGTGTGCACACGTGTGCACGCACATGCAATGCATGTTCATGTATGCATGAGTATGGAGATAAGAAGTCAATGTCATGGATTTTCCTCCATTTGCATTTATTTAAACCTGGAACTTATTGACTGGGTAGTGTATTTAAACCTGGAACTTATTGACTGGGTAGTGACCTGTAGGAACCCACCTGTCTCTGTGTCCCCAGAGCTAGATTCCAAGGCACAAGCTTCTGCGTCAGCTTTTTATGTGGTTATAAAGATCTGAACTCAGGTTCTCTGTGTGCATATCAAGCACTTTACTGACTGAGCCATCTCCTAATCCTCTAACAGCCTGAGATTGTAAATGTTATAGTTTGACTGTGAAAGAGCCTCACAGGAGAAAGGAGTCACTGGGTGGGAGTGGGCACTTCATGTTTCTAGCCTAGCCTTGCTCCTTCTTCATTACCTATGCCATGTAACCAGCCATCTCAAACTCACGCTACAGAGCCACAACCTCTCTTGTACTACCATAATCAACCATATCCCGTGAATCGGTGAGCACCAATAGATCTTTCTTCCTTTTGTTTGCTTCATCCAAGTTTTATTTTAGATTTATTTATTTTAATTTACATGAATGTTTTGCATAGATGCATGTTAAGTACACCATGTGCATGTCTGGTGTCCTCAAAGGTCAAAAGGCATCAGACTTCCTGGAACTGGAGCAAAAGAGGTTTGTAAATTACCATGTGGGTGTTGGGAACAAAATCTGGGTTCTCTGGAAGAACAACCAGTGCTCATAACCATTGAGCAACCTCCCTAGCCCAGTCAGGCATTTTAACAAAGTGAGGAGAAAAGTAACCCACATCATAAAATAGCATTTTTTTTAAGAGTCAAAAAAGGTTGTCATTTTTAACTGACAAATAAAACCCAGTCTCTAAAAGCAGACTCAGCCCTGCCACTTCTCACTGAGGAACAATGGGTAAGCCACTTCACTTCTGCTGTATGAGGGTCACAACTGGTGATAGTCAGGTCAGGTGCACACCACACATGGTCAGTGACCACCACTCCATTACTGCCGCTGCTCAGATTAGCTATTCACAATCTGTACAGGAGGCTTCACAATGAAAAAAGGGCTTCCCCCTCCACAGTGAGAATGAGGCACTGAAGCTGCTCTCTTTAAAAAATCATCGACAGCAACAGTGAGCACCTACTATTATTTCAACATTTACGATGACACTACCAAGGTTCAAATTGAGCCTATGCTAAAATGGGCCACTGCTCACTTCCTGTCTGTCCAGGTCCCCTCTCCAGCAAGCCCTGCAAGTCTGGAATACTCAGAGCTAGACACAGAAACAGGAGTATTTATAGGAGACAGAGCTTAGCATCTGATATCTAGACTCACCTTTAGTCATGGGGCTACAAAGGCATCAAGGGAAAGAGCCACTGACCTGATGGAGACACATGGTAACCCACCTAGGAGATAACAACATATGGCCACTCTCATCACCGAAAGAGAAAAGAGTTTGTGGGACTGCTGACAGGAAACAGTCCAACCAGAGCTATGCTATCAGTGAAATGATCTTGACCCAAAAGCAGGCTTAAGGAAAATGAAAGCAGGTGGAGCATGACAAACAGCTCTACCCAAAGATACCTAGTATTGTTCATAAACTAACTGCAGGGAAAAGAAAGATGAGGGAGGACTCAACAGAAGAGAAAGTAAGAGAAAAATCAAACCTTCAAAGAAAGCATAGTGGATGGTGAAGACTGACAAAAGAAGAAAGGGTTAATGATTTATTTCAGATGGATAAGATGGCCAGGCTCCAGAGACAAATCACCAGGATGGCTGCACAGCACATGAAGGTGCACTACTGAAACGTCTTCCTAAAATGGTTGGAATAATTGAGGTATATCTATCTTACCATCATTTTTAAACTATGAGACAGAAATCTAAGTGACAGTCAATGGATTACAATGTCTGGGCCTCAGATTTATCACAGATTTTTAAAGAGCCTATTTAAAATTGAGATATTTAGACATTTGAATCCTGATATTTGCTGCAGTAAAGGATTTAGTGGATATAAGAAGGGCATAGCATTTACTTTTTGACTTTTGGATAGATACAGTAATGTCCAGATATTAAATACTATTTAATATTTGACTCCCATACACAGAAGGAAGAAACAGGAAATGGTAAGTTGAAAGAGACCTGGCTATGGCTGGTGAAACCTGAACCTGGCAACAGTTACTTGAGAGTGCATATTATTTACCTGCTCATCTTTAAAGTGAAGATGAAGTTTTGATGTGCATGTGTGGATGGACCAGCATCCAAATTCCTACTGCATCATAGCTCTCAGTGGCATGATGCAGAAACAAAGTAAATGTTTGAAGGATACAATTGATCACAGGTGTTTAATAAGATACTGAATGACTGAGCCAAGGAAATGACCCAACTAAATCAGCAGTTCTCAACCAGGGGTGACTGGGGGAAACGAAATTACTACCCTCTATAGAATGAAAAGCTAGTCGGCCCAACAACAATTACGTGACCAAAAATGTCAACAGAGTGGGTGAAAAGCCCTATAATTCAGCCATATGGGACACCCCTAAAACCAAACTACTGAACAAAAACAAGCAAAAAAGAGGCAATGAAAAGATCCATACCAGCAGACCACATGGGTACAAGACATAAAACTGATCCTGCCACCTGACTGGATTGACCCCGCAGTGAGACTGTGGGTAACAGAGGCCTGATACCCATATTGAGGGTGGGCAGAGGCAGATGGCAAGGCTAGGCCCTGCTTGCTGGTGGGGAGCTCTTACAGGGCCTCGGAGGTCGATCAGCTCCTGCCTCATCTGAGACACCAGGGCTTCCTTGGCTACCAGAGCTCGGTGTAGACGCTCGTTGAACTCAATCAGCTCTCCATGCATCTCAGCCACCTGAAACAGACAAGCAGGGCACTATCAGACTCTTGTCCATGCTGAGCACAGCTTTTCTTCAGCCTCCTTCCTGCCAGGTTGTAGCAAGACACCAGCTGGACACCAGCTGGACACCAGCATGGAGTACCCAGCAGCATTCAACCCTTCATGAGCTAGGTGAGTCTTGACAGTCTATGGTCAGAAGATGACAGTGTTGAACCATTTCCAAACCTTAACACTTTTTTAACAAGAGTTGGTTTGTTTTGTAGTCTGCTAAGAAAAGTTCCAATTAAAAAAAAGAAAAGAAATTGCCTATCATCCATGAAACCCTAGGTTCAATACTTAGCAGTACAAAAATAAATTAACTAATAATTATGATGATGCCCCAGCTAGTGGTGCATTGGGAATCAATGCTATTTTACTCAGCGAGTCTTGATTTCAGGTGAGAAGAGGACAAGCTCTCCTAACCACAGTGACACAGACCTCAGCAGCACCACTGCTTCCGTCACTGTTGACCCTACATCAGAATAAATCTTTCCCCTGCTTTCTGTGAGCTTCAGGACAAAAGCTCTGAGAGGTATGTATATTGATTGATCCCACCTTACAGAAAGCAAACTCAGAACTCAGGAGCTTCAAGGACTTGGTCTAGACTATGAATGTTATGGGAATTTGGTCTGAACGCCAATTGTATGAGGCAGTTTTGCCCAATGGGCATGGTCTCTTCTGGAGATACATGACCCAGGGGGAAGAGTCACAAGCTCTCTTGGACAGTGTAGTTGGTGGCAGAGCCATAGCTTGGAACTTCCCCATCACTCTTTGGGAAGAAGGTTATGGCACCAGCAGCAGAGAGCTAGTCCCTCAGCGGGAATGGCGGAGCAGGTGGTGACATGACTCAGATTCCTCATTCTGTCTTGTAATCATTGTGAATAGATTTTGACATTAGTAAACAGTGACACAATCCCCAGACTTCCCTCTTTGTGTGAAGGTGATGAAGGGAATATCAGAGCCCTGGCTAGGCACTAGGATTCTGCAACTACACTAGCCCCCTCATGCAGCTGGTCAAAATGCTGTCCCTGAACCCTGCAGGAAAACCTGAAGCCTCACTCAGTTTGGCCACTGCCTCCTAACAGAATCCTCCCACAGCCTGAACTCACACAGCATTTACTACATGCTGGGATACATACAATAACACCAGGCTATTTGTTCCAAGTATTTAACATGACACATAAAAGATACTTCTAGAATGCCACCAGAGGGTGGGACAATGACAGAAGCTTCTGTTGGGGGTGGGAAGCCAGTGACCTGAATCTCAACTCAAGAAGCAAAAAGGAGCCCCCTCTTCATTACAAGCAAAATATACAGAAGGAAATACAGGATATTGAAATCCAAGGAGGGTTTCTTCCTATTCTTTCTGCTTTCCTTACATAAGCTTCTTAGTAATGAGCATCTTCCACTCAGCATTCTTTAACTAGGCTCTTTAAGGATTTGAAATGCCAAGAAACATAAGACCATGCCTGTATTTCTTCTTCCTGAGTGATCCATGATGGACTTAATTTTCAGTATGTATGTATGTATGTATGTATGTATGTATGTATGTATGTATGTATGTGTATCTATTGACTCTGACAATTCTGTACACTGAACATAGAACACACTCTGTTCAGCTGATGCTTCCATCTGCTTGCTCCGTGGATCCCTTTTTTATGGTGTCCTATGTCCCCAACGTGCCAACCTCACCAAGGATATGAAGCAGTGCATACAAATGGCACCAAAGGTGCCTTAAAAACGAATTTGTTAAGGAGTAAGGCTGGGTACATCACTGAGTCTTTCACCATCTCTTTGTTTGCAAGAGCCAAAGATGAATTCTCCCCACTTAACTTATTTTTCACAAAAACTTATGTTGATCTCAAATTCAACAAACACATACAGCATCACTAATAACACCTGGAGATCCTCCACATGGAAGTCATGTGACCTCCCAAACTATCCTCAAGACAAGCAGGAAGTTCACAGCTGATGCTCAGCTGCTAATTTGCTCCCACAGAATGCAGGCTTCAAACAGGTGCTACTGTCATTTCCTAGTGCGCAGCAGAGTTCTGTGGGTTTTGTTGTGTTTAGCTGTAAGAGTCAGAGTGCCACAACAATTTTCTATAAAAAATGCTTATAGCATCAAACCACCCAGGCTCCAGGGTGTTCACAGAACTGTCAAAACCCTGGATCCCTTTTGCAGTCACAACTGTGATTGACTGTATCTGACAAAGCTTACCAGAGGAACCACAAAGACAACACTTGACTGGAATAATTTCACCATGAGGCTCTGGTGCTCACAACATTAAAAACAGGCCATGAAGTCACCCTCTGGAATTGTGGCTGGGGGACAGCACCTTATTTACTGCAGACCAATGGAACTACAAGACTGGGTGGGGTTAAGAAAACAGATGCCCTCCAACCTACACCCTCAATCTGACAAGGTGCCCTTCTCATAGTCACATCACATATTCTCACCTGCTGCTTGATACCCTCAATGTCCAGCCTCAGGATAAAATCCACACACTCCCTCACTACATCTCTCACTCTTGGTCCTAGGTAACACACTGAGTCTGACAGTGTTCTCTGCCCGTGGCCATGCTGGGCTGTAGGAAATCATCCTATAGAGACAGAGAAAGGCCTATGCACCTGAGGCTAGTCCTCACAAAATAAAAGAGATGCAGACTGTCACCTAGCTGGGCCACAGTACAGATGTGAGGCAATGCCAGGTCACAGAATGAGTATGTTTGAGGCAGGGTAAATGCCCAGTAATTAAGATCCTCTTGATCCTGTCGGTCAAGAGACATGGAGGAGGGGTCAGAGAAGAAGGCCTGGAGAAGTCAGATGAGAAAATGCCACACACAGAAGGAACTGGAACAGCACTTTGGAGGCTCACTATTCCTCAAAGCAAGACTGACATATTGTTAACCACCTACTGGCATGATGGTCAGTGCTGAGGTAGGATGGGAGAAGAGACACATAATTGTCTCCTTTGATGTTTGGCCAGAATCAAGACAAGAGCTTCCTGGAAGATGTTGCTTTCAGAGCTTCAGCAAGCTGAGTTTTTCCCTCAAACTGAGCATGGAGGACAGGTCTTCAAATACAATGGGGCTATGAGGGAGCTATTAAATCTGTGAGGATCCCAGAGTTACCATGATTACCTACCAAATCTCAAAGGATTATAAATGAAAAAAAAAAAAAAAAAAAAAAAAAGGCCTCTGGAATCTCCTTTCAAAATATAAATCACGCCTTGCCCTCCTCCTTCAGACCTCAAATGAGGCTTCTTGGTTAAGAACAAGACAAACCTAAAATTTAGGTAGCAACTGATGCCTGTTCCCTGTGGGCTTGTCTGCAGTAACTGTTGGGAAAATTCTTGAGTTCTCCATGAAGAATGCATAGCACCTACCTAGTTAAAAACTCCGCCAGTGCCAGCTGCCCTAGGATATTCATATGCACAGCCTCTTAGAGGCTTTAGGAATCCAGTGCCCTTTCCTACAAGGTGGGTAGCCATTCCTTATAGCTAGGCCTTTGCATGGTGATAGGCCTGTGTCAGGGTCAGGTGACGTAGAACAGAGACTTGAACCCACATCTTAGTGGCCTTAGCAGCGATTTGTGCTCAAATATTTGAAGTGTAATAGAAGCTAACCCCTTTTGTGGTTAAGGAAGGTGAGTTTTTCTTGCATGGTAAACACTAGTAGCCCATGACCCAGCTAATCATAGTTACCTGGTAGGTTCTATTCTGAGAAATGTAGATTTATGACTCCTGAAATCCCAATTGAAATGGGGGGACCTAGCATGAGCTATACAGTTTACCTGACAGAGGCCTCCGAGAAACAGGTTTCATAACTGTCACTACCCTGTCTGAACTGTTGCCAACAGGTCCCCAGTGTTGACCCTCATGCTTCATGATGCAGCCATACAGGGAATCTGCAAGCCAGTCTTAAGAAAAGGTGACAAGCAGCCTCTCATCAGCCCAAAGGACATCAGTTCCTGCCAGTGAGCAAAGTCCAAGGATCCAGAAACAATACTAAAACAGCAGTTAATGCTGACACCAAAAACAGGCAGGAGCTACAGCCCTGTGCTGAGCTCAGGGCCATTGCCTCAAGAGAACTCAAGAGGCTCTGTGCAACCACATGGGTCTACAGTAGACACAGAACCATCTTTCCAGATTGCTGGACAGCCTACAGCACAGCAGATTCCAATTCTATAGCTCCAATATAGAGCCACCTGGCCCCTCCCTAGCTGTGACCTTGGGCAGCTTACTTTCTCCTCATTGGGATTCAGTTTCTCATCTGTAAAACAGAGGAAATAACAACACAAACTTGAAAAGGCCCAAAAGGTGTTAATCAGTTAATGTTCCAGAAAACTACACTGGGGTGGGGGTAAGGAGTGGGGTAGAGGTTACTTCCTAACTGCAGGCTGTTGCTTTTGCTATCATCAGACAGATGTCCAGCAGTGTTAGCCAGCAGCACCCTGGTTCTATAGGGCCAATGCCCTCAATCTTTCTTAGATCTGCTCTTCTCCTCCACCCATTGCCAGACCTTTTGAAAGGAGAGTCCAGGCAAGGCTTAAACAGAACCTAAAGTTGGCTCATTTGCTCTGCATTTGTGGAATCTTTGGACTTTAATCTTTAGAATGAGCTAAATGCCATGAATGGGCTGTTTTGCTGAGTAGAGTAGCCAGTTAAAGGGCAGCATGGTGCTGGACATGGCTGAGACAGATGCCCAGGGAGCATCTGCAATTGACAGCAACCCCACCTCCCCCCACCCTTCCTGAGCCACCTGACCCTCAGGCTGGAAAAGGCTTTCCATTCTGGAGAAGAAGTGAGGCCCTGCAGAGTTGCCAACCATCCCAGGATCCTCAGAAATCAATAGCTGCTTTTTGTGAGCAAGCCTAAAACAACTGGCAGGGCTTTCAAAAAGTCCAGACAAGGCTTTTAAAGTAATTCCTGACTTTACTGCAAGTCACAGGACTCGCAGAATGCAGTATTTATA